CGTGTTCTTCGATTGCTTGCAGGAATAGACCTTCGTGGTCAGGTTGATCATGCTCCGGCGTGGTTAGGGCTGGAAAAAAAGCTCGAAGCTCGTGAGCTAAACGAGTAACTCGTGTCTCGGCTCGAATCGACTCGAACTCGAAAAATAACGAGTCGAGCCGAGCTTTAGTTTAAGATCGTTTATAGACCAAGTTAAACGAGCCAATCTCACGAGTACTCGTGTAACTCGTTAGGCTCGTTACAAGAGATCAGCTAAGCACCCTGCGTCCTAGGCACATAACACAAGGCCCAACTGCCCTACGAATATGAAAAAAATGATTACTTGTGAATGTAAAATGTACATATTAAACATGTACATTATTCACAAATAATGTTCATTTTTATCTTATTCGTAAGGTTTTATGTTCATATCCTTAACGAGCTTAACAAGCTAAACGAGCCAGCTCGCGAGTTATATGAGTTGAGCCAATCTTGAATTTGAACTCGTTATAGTAACGAGTCGAGTCAAGCTAGCTCGTTAATGAAATGAGTTTTAGCGAGTCGAGCCGAGCTGGCTCGACTCGGCTCGAATTCCAGCCCTAGGCGTGGTCAATAACCTCTCGGAGTTGGTTTAGCGATTGCTAAGGCGCAACGTCGTGCACGTTTGTAGTCGGATCGTCAAAGTCATCTCCACCAAATCGATAGTTATCATCTCATCGAAAGATCGGGACACCTTGCCTCTATCAAATACCCTCGAAGTTGATATAAATTACCCACTATGCCATCCATAAGCAAAGAAAATGATTCGATTATATTTTTCAAAAGTCACTATTTTATAGAGGCAATTCCCTAACAAACCAAAGACACACAAGTGCTCCAGTCGTTGGCGCTTTGCTATGTTAGCCTAGAGACCATGGTTCAATACCCTCTTTTCACGATTTTTTTCCTTCCTTTTCTCACGCGCGTACGCGTTCATGGGCTGGCCTTGACATCCCTTTATTTAATTTTTGTCTTTTCTTTTTTCATTCTTTTTTTTCTTCTTTAAATTAATTCGGGATTTTTAAAATTTAAAAATTGCAAGTTTTTAGAAAAATGTTTAAGAAATCAGAAAATGTTTGTGAATTCAGAAAATATTCGAGAAATCATAAGAAATTTGCGGATTCAAAAAATGTTGGTGATTTTTCGAACTGTTTGCAAATTATAAAAAAAATACAATTTGAAAAAAAAAGACAGAAATTTAGGAACAGAGGGTATATATTAATTACATCTCTCTCGATTTCTATTTCAAACAAATAGATTATCCCTGTCATGGAGAACATGACCACTCTTCGGAAAACAAATAGGTTTCTACAAGTCATCCTAGTTCGGAAATCTCTGAATTCTTCAGATAAAACAGATGCATTCTTCAGATCAAAAAGTTTGAATTTTTCAATTTACTACTCTCCATTCTCAAATATTTGTCTTTCGAGATATTTCAAATGGTCTACAATATACAGATGTATGTAGACATGTTTTAGAGTGTAGATTCACTTATTTTACTTTGTATGTAATCACTTGTTGAAATGTTTAAAGACAAATATTTAAGAATGGAGGGAGTATAAGAAGATGCCTTCCGTTCCGGACTATGACACTCAACATGAATACGTTCACGTGTAGGATCAACCTAAATATTCTGACCACGCAGTTTTACACAAGAGGCATAAGAAGACATCTCGACAGCTAGGAGCAAAGAGATCAAACATCATAGAGTAGAAGATAAATCAAATGACAGGATAAATATGTAACATGCAAATCACCCACTTTACATTGTCACAAGTACTCCCTCCCCTCCGTTCAGAATTACTCGTCCAACAAATGAATGTATCTAGATGTATTGTTTAAATTATTCATGCATTTATACTTAAATATCTCATTTTCATCAACCTTAGAACCATGCAGCAAATGCTCCCTTGACGCCTAATCAGTTACCATAGCCGACAGAATTGGAACATTGCGCAAACATAGCCATCACTATTCACTTTGTAAACTTTTTTGCCAACTTCGAGCAGAAAACAGGAGCTGATGTTCCGCCTCCTCAAAAGTTAATGGTGCTACTTTGTTACACAATATATATAATAAACAACAGAAAAAAGAAAGAAGAACAAACAGACAGACAGACAATAAACCGTTCTTTTCTATCTAATCTGAAAATAAACAAGTTGAGCTGCAGCCGAGGTCCCTAGGAGAAACTACAGGTTGAACATGCTGGAACACATCTCACGGGCCTCTCTTCAAAATTTCACAATAGCTACCAAC